TTATCATGAATGGATGCTGAATTTTATCAAAGACTTTTTCTTCATCTATTGAAATGATCAGTGTTTGTTGTCTTTTCTTTTTTTATTGTGGTGTATCATGTTAATTGATTTGTATATGATGAACCATTCTTGGGACCCTGGAATGAATTTAATTTGATCATAGAAAATGATCTCTTTACTTACTGCTGCATTGATTTTTCTAATATTTTGTGAGGAATTTTCCATTTACATTAATCAGGGATATTGGCCTTTAATAATTTTCTCTTTCTTTTCTTTCTTTCTTTCTTCTTTTTTTTTTTTTTTTGTAGTATCTTTGCCTGATTTGATATCAGGATGCTGGTAGCTTCTTAGAATGTCTTTAGGAGTGTTCCTTTCTTTTCAGTCTTTGAGAATAGTGCAAGAAGAACTAATATAATTTTTTTTCTTTGTATATTTGGTAAAATTTCCCAGTGAAGCCATCCAGACCTGAACTTTTGCTTGTAGGGAGTTTTCTAAGATGACAGATTCTATTTCACTTCCAGTGATCATTCTGTTCAAATTATCTTTTTCTCTTGACTCACTTTGGAAGGTTGTACATTTCTAGAAACTTGTTCATTTCTTCTAGGTTGTCCAGTTTGTTGACATAAGGATTCATAGTATTTTCTTATTTTTCAAAAATTTCTCTGGTATTGGTTGTTATTTTTCATTTTTATTTTTTAACTTTTTTAAAAAATTCAAGCTCTCTTTTCTTCTTGGTGAACTTGGCTTGATTTTATTTACATTCTAAAAAAAATTTATCTTTCTTTTATTTCCTCTATTGTTTTTAATCTCTTAACCTCTTATTGTTTTATTTCCTCTCTGATCCTTGTTATTTCCTTCCTTCTGATGACTTTTGGGTCTGTTTGTTCCTCTTTTTCTAATTTTTTTAAGTAGTAGGTTAGGTTGTATATTTGAGATTTTCTTCTTTGAGAAAGTCCTGTATCCCTATGACCTTCCATTTGAGAATTGCTTTTGCTCAATTCCATAGGTTTTGTAAGGTTGTCTTGTCATCATCATTTGTCTCTAGGTATTTTCTGATTTTCCTCTTTCATTTCATTGCTGACCCATTGGGTTTTAGTATTGTGTTTTTAGCTTCCATGTAATCATTCTTTTCTCATTATATCTTATTTCTCATTTTATTACTATTTGCATAGAGTTGTGGTCAGAAAAGATGTGTGAAATAATTTCTACCCCTTACATTTCTTAAGGCATATTTTATGTCCTAGTATGTGGTCTATCCTTGAGAATGTTCAATGTGCACTTAAAAGGATATTCTGGGTTTTTTTGTATGTAATGTCCTGTAGGTATCAATTAAGTTCATCAATTCTATTGTGTCACTTAGATTCTCTGCTGCCTTACTGATTTTGTGTCCAGAAGATCTGTCCAGTGATGTCAGTGCAGTGTTTAAAACTCCTACTATTATTGTATTCCCTTCAATTATTATTTTTATGTCTTTAGTGTTTGTTTTATGTATTTAGGTCCTCCTAAATATATTGGGTGGATATATGCTAACAAGTATAATATCCTTTTCTTATATTGATCTCTTTATCATCCCATAGTGTCCTTTGTCTTTCATTATGAAATTTGCTTTAAAGACTGTTTTATCTGATCTGAGTACTGTTATACCTGCTTTCCTCTCATTTTCATTTGCATGTGCCATTCATCTTGTGGCTTATGTTTTCTTTTCCTCCCCTTCCCACTGTTTTGTTAGATATGTTTAAAAATGACCTTTTCTTAAGCTTTAAAGTTTGACTTGGGTTTATATTGTGATATAAATATTCCTAGTAAAATATAGACAACTAGGCATGATTGAGAATTGGAGGATGAATTCACAACTGATTGATGTGTGTGTTAGTCACTCAGTTGTGTCTGACTCTTTGTGACCCTATGGACTGTAGCCCACCAGGCTCCTTTGTCCATGGAATTCTCCAGGCAAGAATACTGGAGTGAGTTTCCATTTCCTACTCTGACAGCATATTGGACATCTCTTGACATTGCCAATAGTTTTCTTCCAATCTTAGTCACATCACAAACCTCTATGACCCTGCCTCAATTTCATCCTAGGTTTCTGGTTTGAGCACTCAAGAAAATGCTGGATTGCAATTAGTTTGAAGATGGTTCAGTTTGGGGGTAAGAACTGACACTTTTCATGTTGTAAAGGACTAACAAAGTGAATCCTAAGGAGAAAACAGAAGTGGGAAGAAACTAGGAAAGTAAAACAAACTGATGGTGATCAACAGTGGACATGCCTGTGGTGACTCATTTAGTCTCTAAAGGTAGGAATGGGTGGATAGAAAGTAAAAGTACTTCTTTCATTATAACAAAAAGAGAAGGGAAGATGAGAATATAAAGTTCGAAGGTGAGTAGCTGGGAAGTGATGAGTTATCTGATATGATGAGTAGTTATTTAATATCTCAACCTATGTCATAATGATGCATTTCATATTGTTTACATTTATCCTTTCAAGGGGAAATTATTTTTATCAGAGGAAATTTATACATTAAAATATTTATTTGATAAGATTAAAGCTGAATGTAAGAACTAAGGCAGAGAAAGAGAGATGGCATTTTGAAAGTAATGGACTCGGTGCCAGGTACACTATGGTTGGCAAAGCAGTAATTTCTCAGAATAATTGGGACAAATATCTTTAAATATTTATTGAAAATGGTATTATGATTCATAGAACTTCTTTAATGACAATGGAAATGAAGTAATAATGGATGTGAGGAAAAGGCATATGTACTGCCAAGATTTAGCAATCTAGTTTTAAAAGAAAAACTTGAAGTATTCTAAGTTTGCACTATATATGATTGAGATGGAAGCAAGATAACTGCATGGGTGGTTAAACCTCAGTCTCCTCAGATCTTGCAGAATATGGAAATAATTTCTCAGAAGCATTTGAAAATTGAAAACATAAATAGCACACTTAGAGGTCCATCTGTCCTTTCAACTGGAGTCCTAACTTTCCTATTTTCTGGAGGTGTGTGGTGACCTAAATGTGAGAATAGCCCAAATGTGAGAATTTCCTGTCCAAACCTGAACTGACACATTGATGAGAAATCAACTTTTTCCACTCTCACTTCACTCTGAGCCTTCACAGGGTAGTATGTAAAGGTCACAGACATTGTTAATTCTTGTCCTGGATTTATGTTTTAAATTTCTCCTTTTATTACCCAGCTATAGCAGGCCTCTTTTGTGAGAGTAATCTGACCTCCCCACTAAAGGATGCACGACTTTCTGGCCAACAGAAGGTATGTGTCCCTTCTCGCCTGTCTCTCTACTAGACCATCTCACTTAGTGGGAACTAGCAAATGGTTGTATGTGAAACAACTGAAGTATAGTTAATATACAACAAAATCAAAGTATATTAGTTTAAAAAAAAATAACTCAGGGTAAAAAACAACCATAAAATATCAAATATGATGGAAGATTTCTCCAAGTATTCAAATTAGTGTCTGTAGAATGCTAGTCAAGTGTATATTTGGATTTGTATATAATCTTAAGTGAAATCTGCAGGCATCTTGACAGAGAACAACTAGTTTGGGATTTTATAATCAGTAGAAGGTGGGTTTCTTGTATAATAATATGTTAATATATATTTCTCTCAACTTCTATAAATAGATTCTTGGGAAAGAATTCATTGCATAGAAAGGCCAAACATGAATCTTTATATGCACTTAGATTAAGTAAAATCAGTTTTATTTTTAATAAAAATCAAGATGAAGTAGCTTCCTAAATGCTAATATAAACTTCACTGTAAGTAATGAAAGTATTTTTAAAAATATTGAACAAATATTTCAAAAAAGATGTACTATACTAATTAAAGACACTCTCATTTAATAAATTGCTTGCCAGGCTCTAACTGATATGAATCAGAAATAGTAACACAGAAATTGTAACTTAAACAGTAGTTAAAAACTAATATTTATAGAACATATAGGTACTAGATTGAGTGCTCAGTGTAACATGCATTATATATTACATATTATTTCCATGTTAGATTAATAATATAGGTTACTAGACACTAAATAACTTTTAAAGAACACACTTCTTTAAGTTTCAAATCCATAATTAATTTCCAGATCTTTCTGACTAATGCATCCATTGACTGAATTATTAAGCTATGTTTTCTGGATTTTATAAGCAATTATCATCACTTATACAAATAAAATGACCATTACTAACTTTGACATCTATAAGATCTTTGTGGAAGTTTGAACCAACAGTGTTCTTCCATGAATGAACTATATTTGTTCATCATTTTGTGGATTCAGACCTTAGCCACTAAATTATCAATTACATTTGTAAAGTAAATATTTTTTAGTCTTTTTCTATTGCTTTTTTTTAGTATTGTTTAGGTTATGTTTACTTTGTCACATAATATTTTTCAGCATATGAAGTAGTACCACAAATTTTAAAGTTTTCTCAGAATTCCTCAACCATTCAAAATAATGAGCATTTGGTACCCTTTTTAATAAATAAATATAAGTCACCATATACTGTAATTTAGTGCAGGAAATGCCAACTTTATCCTCATCTTTAAAGTACTTAGTCTATAACCAGTGTTGGATTTCCAAATAATCAAAATTATAGTTGAATCTCTCTGTTGTAATACACAATATTTTCATTTTAATACAAGCACTGTAATGCTGTTAAAATATTTCTGTGGAATCTGACTTAACTTCATGAGGCTATTATTAGTCATGAACTTCATTATTCCCTAATTTATTGCTTTTCATTGTTTAAACAATAATATATTGTCGAATATAAAATATCTTTTTTTTAAAAAAAGTGTTCTATCATGAAATCCTTGTTTGAAGTTCCAAGGAATTTAGAACCAGGCTTTAAGTTTGTTCAGCTGCAAAGTGAACACTAAGCTCTTTGCCCCGCCCGTATTATTGCAGTAGGATTCTTGCCTCATATACACCACTCATTCCTCAGTTCACTTAGAACACAGTCTTTGACATCACTCAGCTTCAGAGATGAATAACCAAGGAGTAATCTATACAGAACTGAAGGGAGTCAAGAACTCAGAGAGACAGCGAATAAAACCTAAGGGCTCTAAAGGTCTCATTCCAATAGCTCAGCAGGAATTAACATATGCAGAATTAAATCTTCAAAATGCTTCTCAGAATCTTCAAGGGAATGAGGAGAACTACCACTCCAAAGGTAAAACATTACCAGTCACTAGGTGAAATTGTTCTAGGATATGAGGTTGGGGTGCAAAGATGTGGAGAAAGAGTAGGGAATAAGCTCACATATTTTTCATCTGAAGAAGAGAGCTTAAAATTGGGTATGGTATCTAATGTGAAATCAGAGAACTACTTTCATTCTGGCATTGCTGAAATTTGTAGTCTTTAATCAACAACTAATGCAGCATTATATTTGCTGAAAATGAAATGGTATATTCTGAGAGAAAGCCTAGAGTGGTAGAAATTGTTTGGGGTCCAAGCTGATGTACATAACTCTCTGTTTACTTGGGTTCTAGTGTATGTCTACTCTCTAAACAATTGCCCCCCATCACTCCCTTCTCAGTAGTTCCATTTCCCTCCCTACAGGTTCACCATCACCTCCAGAGAAGCTCATTGCTGGGATCCTCGGAATTGTCTGCCTTGTTCTGATGTCCACTGTGGTAACAATGATTGTTGTTACTCCCTGTAAGTACATTTTTTAAAAACTGTAAGGCAACTTTTCACTTTAATGATGGTCAGTCCTCTAAACATTTCATAATATTATAGAATGTGCCTATCATTAACATATATGCATTTAGACTAAATGTGGAATGGTAATTCTGAATCTGTCAAAAATATACAACACAGAATATAGAGGGTACATATTTGTATATTCTGATTTCATAACTCAAAAACATTTATTAGTAGATTGAAAGAACTTTATGATAAACACAAATTAATTCTTAATATTAGTTAAAATAAATACTGTAAGGGGTGGTAGCATCTGTTCCTTTTGTTTTTTGAAATATGTTTTTCCACCAACTCTTTATTGCTTAATTAATTTTTCTTTTTAAAATCAGTTTTATTTTAGATTACTCTAATCCTAAACAATAAACCAAATTTTAGACTCAGAAACTAAAATCATTATGATTTATTTAGAGCAATATTAACTTTTATAATAATTAATTTTGTAGCTACTCTAATACAGGAACAGAATAACTCCTCTCGGATAACAAGGCTCCAGAAAGGTACATAATGATTTTAAAGCTCTGGCATATATACAGTTGGTATTTTGTCTCTATCTTAGGCTAACGAAAATAATAGATTATGGGGTAGAACATAAATTACAAAATAGAGCAACAAATATTTATAAGCAATGATTATAGGAGAATGCTTCTGCCTATACAACAATATGATCAATATGAACAATACAACAATTGTTGAAAATTGGTTCTACTTTCCTTCTGTTATAATATGATGAGACAAATAAGTTTATTATTCTAAAACAGAGGTTTCATTTCTTGATTATCAGGATGTGTAAAAAGTGGGTATTTCTGTGTGTTTGCTTTATATGGAGACATAAATTGGGTTATGAGAGACTAACCCTTTCTGTGAATGTATGCATTGGTTTAATATGTACCAGCCTTGAGGATGCATAGATACTTTGTATAAACATGTATATACATATATATGTCTATATCTATGTATATATGTCGGAGAAGGCAATGGCACCCCACTCCAGCACTCTTGCCTAGAAAATCCCATGGACGGAGGAGCTTGGTATGCTGCAGTCCATGGGGTCACTAGGAGTCAGACATGACTGAGCGACTTCACTTTCACTTTTCACTTTCATGCATTGGAGAAGGAAATGGCAACCCACTCCAGTGTTCTTGCCTGGAGAATCCCAGGGACGGGGGAGCCTGGTGGGCTGCCGTCTATGGGGTCGCACAGAGTCGGACACGACTGAAGCGACTTAGCAGCAGCAGCAGCATGCATATATGTAAATTGACTTTTATTTTCTAAAATTCAATATTTTTTGGCTAGTAATTCACAATCTTTCTTCAGAATGCCATTGTGGTCGTTGTCCAAAAGACTGGTTTACATATTCCAACAACTGCTATTATATTACTTTTGAAGAAAAAACATGGAATGGGAGTTTGACAGCCTGTGCTTCTAGGAACTCTACTCTGCTTTATTTAGATAATGAAGAGGAAATGGTAAGCTATCAAATGTTTCCAACACTTTGCTAAAGGCTTGATTCAGTCAATATTATATTTGTTAGAATTCACTTGTGTTTTTGTATGTATTTATAGTTTGTTTAACACAGGTCTGTTATTTTATTAAATAGTGGAGTACAACTTAATGATATTTTATTAATATTTTATCCTATGAATGCATGCTTGATTATTTCCATTCTTGCTTTTCACTGAAAATCACACTTCTCCAATTGCTATTTTATTCTAAGATAAACTGTGTTATTTGATTTTAATATATATCAAGGAAAGTATACACATCATACATTTTCATATAGATCACAAAATAAATAGAACCATGTAATTACACATCAGATTGTGGATTAGAAGTTTCAACTTTCCAGCGCCCCATCCTCTGTAACTTCTCATCACCTGTGTTTCCTCCTTTTTACCCACTTTTGTGGTGTTTGATGTTATAGAACCTCTTTGCATGTTTGGCTCCTCATGTCCATAGACTCTGCCAGTATGCATTCTTCTTTCAGTCTCCACACACTCCCATGTACTAGTTTTGCAATTCATCCATATTCTTTCATTTACATGGTGCTTGTTACTGACTATTGCTCATTTTGTAAATATAGCATTTAAAATCCACTCTATCCAACGTCTTTGAGTGGAGATGGAGTCTTATGCCTTCAGGGAAAAGAGGCTTTCCGGGTTCAGCACTTTTAGACATGAGATCCTCTTTGCTGGCCCCACGTCCATCTTGGCCTCCCAACTCTAGTTCTCTTTGTGGCGGCAGGAGAAGAACCTCCTCTAACTGCTGCTTGTTAGCAGGTGTCCTGGTGGACACTTTGTGAGGCTGGCATGGTATTGCCAACAGGATTCCCCTCAACACACAGGAAGAATGGAATGCCTTATCTGTGCCCCCTCCTACAGCTTGGCTGGGTGAGTCATTTAAAAGGTCTAGGTCATTTTCTTCTTTTGGGGAAGATATAAGATGCCCCTAATTGTTGTTCCCTAACCTCACTTTGTTCTCCCATCCTGGAGAAGTGATGAGAGATTACAGAAGTCAAGCTGCTGTTAAGTCTCCAACCACATCACCCTTCTCTTTCCACCTTTCAGAGTTCTCCGTTCTTGTGTCTTTCATCAGTTCCTGTGTTTACAGTTGTACTTAGCAGGAAGGAGCAGAGAGAAATGAGTCTCTGACACTTTATCTTATCTGCTGGATTCTAGCAATACAGAAAAAAGATTGATTTTGGGTTTATCTAGGCAAAGAATGGTGTGGGTACCAGAAAATCAATCTTTGTTTTTTGTGTCATTTATTTTCTCAATTTCAATCCCTTAATATCCTTCTAAAGCTGAAACTCTGAGAAACATAGTAGCAAAATCCAGTGATATAATCACAGTATCTGGAAAAACAAATGTTACAGAATCGGAAAACATTTAAAACCTTGCTATGTTCAATTTGACAACATGGGTAGCAATTAAACTGCATGAATCAGACTTTTCCTTATTAACATAAGAAAAGCAATGAAACTGATAAACATAAATGTTTGAGTTTATTTTTAACCATAAGTACAGACATTGGTTAATGTTTGACAAATATTAAAACATTCACCTTTATACTTTTAGAGTTAGATTAGATTCTAACACTCTCATCTTGTGCAGAAAACTCAGGATCCTCTGAAAGTACACACTATTTACATTTTAAGAACTAATAAAATCTTTTATAATGATTGAACAAAAATATTTTGTGTAGAAATTTCTGAAGTCCCTATCAGTTATGTCATGGATTCCAGTCTTTCGTGAAGGCCATGGTCATCCGTGGATGTGGCAAAATGGCTCAACTTGCAAACTACAGTAAGTTTTTAAAAACAATACTATATAGAGAAGAACATATTAAAAATATATATTTTAAGAATATTATTAAAACATTTGTTTTGGTTGAATTACACAATGATGAAGGATGCTGTTGAAAGTTAATAAAATGTTGATAGAAATATTAAAAAATGGGATACTCAGTATTCCATTTTCCTAATAACAAACTCTTCCTGAAATTATGTTAAAAACACCATTATCCACTTTCAAAATATCTTTTTATTACTTTTATACAGAAATGTTATAACTTCATGAGCTGCCTTCATATACCATAACAGAATTATGCAATGCTTTCCATTACAGGATATTAGACATATCACCTGAGAAAAGAAACTGTGCAGTGCTCTCCTCAGAGGGCATAAAGTCAGATGACTGTGAATTCCCAAGTATGTATACTTGCAAGCACAAGCTTGAGAATTAAAAAGTAAGTTTGGCTGCTGTTGGGAAATGCCATCTCTTAAGAAATGGAAAAATAGTATGATTGCATAAACTTCAAAATGCATTATATTCTTTTTTCTAATAATGTCAGTTTTTTAAAAAAAAAACTGTTGAAATTTAATATGCACAGCAGAAAGTACAGATATCATTCCATCGGTGTCTGACTTTTTTTGCTCAATAGTATATTTATGGCAATCAAACTTTCTAAAGGATTGCATGGTGTATAGGACTGTTTACCTGAAATATCAAAAATAAGAAAAGAGAGACCAGAAGCAGATTAGTGATGACCAAGAGCTGTGGGGAGGTGGGGATAGAAAATGACTGCTAACTGAACTGTGATGAATATCTAGATTTTGATAGTGGTGATAGTTGCAAATTGCAAATGTATATAAAATAACTGCTTATACACTTTAAATGGATGAATTTTATGCTATGTAAATCACACCTCAATAAAGCTGTTTTAAAAAACTGCTTGGGACTGCATTTAATCTTTAAAGTAAATTGTAAAGAGAGTCATCTTTGCAGTATTAACTCTTCCAATCAGTACCATTCTTTATCCTTCCAATAATTTAGGTTTTTTCTTAATTTCTTTGTATTTTATTTATTTAATTATTTTTGGCCACTCCAGGTGGCATATGGGATCTTAGTTTCCCAGCCAGGAATCCGACCTGCACCCCCCACGCTGGGGAGTACAGAGTCCCATCCACTGAACTGTCAAGGAAATCCACTTTGCATGTTTTAAATTTTTCAATATTGAAATCTTAGAGAAATATGGTAGCCATGCTTTTGTAAATGTCATCTTTGCTTTTTAAATTTTTAGTAATTTCTGCTGCTGCAGCAGAAATAAACAAACAAAAAAAAGTGGTTTACAGGCTGATCTTAAGTCCAATGACCTCTCTGTTTTATGTATTAATTCTATTGCTTCAAATTTATATTCCTCTGGATTTTTAAAATAAAAACAGATATTGCAACTATAAATAATCACATTTTATTTCTTCTCTCCAGGTGCAATTGCTTTGTTTTTTTCTTGACTTATTTTTACACTGCAGGCTTTTATCTTCAATGTCGAATAGAAGGTACTGTAAAGGTCCTATATGTATCATTCCTATATTGTGGGAATATATTCCAACACTTTATCTTCAGGTATGAGGTTTAAGGATTTTTTTATCATACTTTTTTTTTACTATGAAAGCAATTCCATATTATTTAATTTTTTCTTATAAATTTTGTAACCAATCAGTAGTGCTTCAGTTTTCTTTTTTCTTCAATAGAATGAGAACTGCTTTTTTAAATAATGCTTATGTATGGCAAAAACTACCACAATATTTTAATTAGCCTCCAATTAAAATAAATTAATTAATTTAAAAAATAAAGTTTATAAAGTTTTTTCCTCCAAATATTCCTATTTACTTCAAATATTAACCAGTCAAGCATTCCTGAAGTGAAACCACAATGATCATTCTGTATTTTCTTTCTCTTAAAATCAGTACATATATCATACTTAGATTAAAATATTTTCTTCATCTATTTTCACAAAGAGACAGGACTGAGTTCCTTAATATTATGTAAGCTGCAAGTTTTGTTCTCAAGGATCTTTTGGGATATATTCCTTTTTTTTTTAATCTCACCTGGAGACTTTGTGAAAGACCTGGTATAATTTTAAGTGTTATTACTCAGTACTGTTACCATTAGAGTTTCTAGAACAGTTTTTGTAGGAAGTTTATACAATGAACGCCATATCTTTAACACATGTTAAGTTTATTCAGGATCTGAGTTGTACTGCATTTGGTAAATTGCATTTTTTTTGCATTCTCTATTTTATATAGATGGTAGAATATATTCATAGTATGGTTTTCTTATCCTATTTAACATCTGTAAAAACAATAATGGTGTTGTCATATTTATTATAGATGTAAAAGATTTATGTCTTCTCATTTTTTCTTTAAATGTCTTTTATCAATTATACTGCCTTTCAAGTGAAAATGACACTGACCATTTTATTCCTTTCTAATGTACTTGCTTTCTTTGTCATGATTTTGCATCATTTATTTTCCTTTTATTTCTTTATTTGGACTATACTTGAATTTAATTTCACCCAGATTGCTTTTTAACTTTTAGTTTCTAGTGGCACCTCCTCAAATTTATTCTTTCTTACTTTTTTGTTTGTGATGTGTGCATTTAAGGCAATCAATATTTCACAAGGCAGATTTTACTATTGTATTTTCCTTTTAAATCATATAAAAATTGAGAATTTTGTGGATATTTCTTTGGTTCATATGTTATTTGTAAATGTGTAACTGAACTTAAAACTAGATAAAGGTTTTCACATTTTTGGTTATTACCTTCTAGCTTAAGTTGTAAAGAATTTCTATGAATCTGGAAGCAATTTATATCTTTATTATATGTGGCTGGTGTGAATGAGGAGGAAATATTAAATTTTTATTTTTTTATAATTAATTAAAAATTAAATTTGAATACTCACATTTCAAGTGTCCATCTGCCAAACTTGACTTAAAGCTGTTATAGTGACACTACAGTTATACATATTTCATATCAATGTAATCAGGATTATGAATATATAGTGAATTTTTGGAAAATTTTAGTGTAATTAAAAATGTGAGTATTCTATATGACTATATAAGTGTGTGTGTGCACAAATGTGTTGGTTAATTGTCTAGTTTAGATCTGTCTGTAGCCTGACTGGTATATCTGCTTGCCAGATGAGCAGTGAGAGGTAATTGTTTAAATCTCTATTTATGATTATTTAACCTACATACTTTTCTCAAATCCTTGTTGAACTTGTACTATTAAGTACATGTTTTTTTTTTTTTTAATTGCTAATGGTTTGGATCCTCAGTATATTGTTATGAAACATGCTTCATCTTTTCTAACAAGGTTCTTCCCTTGTATTGTGACAGTACATTAACTTTATTAGTTTCATCATCTTGTGTTGCATCACATCATTTTTCTTCTTTTTAAAATTCCTCTTTATTTTTTCATTAAAAAATTCTAACTAGGATAACAGTTATTAAAATATCTCTTCTATATATATAGCTGTATTAAACAAAATGTTTTAAATTATGAACATTCTTAGAAGAGGAAGGCTATTTCATATATATTTAACCTAATTTTAAAATTATTATAAACTTTATATATATTCTTTGTATGTAAGTATATATAATTAATTTTAAGTATAATATATTGTTTCTTTGAATTCTACTTTATCTTTATTTTTCAAAATAAATATTTTTACACTCATCTGTAAGAATTTATTCATTTAATATGCCTTAGTTTAATTAGTGCCTTACATTTTGCAGCTTGCATTCTTTACTCAATAAAGTCCAAGTTAGTGCTTTTACTCACTTCTCAAACAAAGAAAGGATATATTTATTCTCTACTTTTATTTACTGCTTATGCTGTATTGGCGCCCTTGAATTCTAATACAAATGTATATTTACAATTTGAAAGTTTATCATTAATATTTTACTTCTCAATATCTATTTGGATATAATCACAGAAGTTCTTTTCTTCAAATCTTCTTTTCTTGTAAAATTTTACCTAAATTAAGAGTTTCTTCTTTAGAAGACCCTAAATATTTCCTTTATTTAGAGTCAGTTGGTAATTTCCCTCCATTTAAAAAACTTCCTTGAAAATGAATTGATCTTGTCATTTTGTTCAAAGGACATTTTCACTTGTTATTGACTTCCAATTTATCTCTCTTTTAGGTCACTCAGTATGGCCATTAATAGACATAGTTACAAATTGATATATTCATATCATAAAAAGCAAATTCAAACTACTTTCAGTGTTTTGAGTAAATTTATCTTTGCCGTGTGTTGTCTGAACATAGATTTTATTAAAGTTAAATGCCAGAGAAAGTGAAAATGAAAATGTACTCACTCAGTTGTATCCAACTCCTTGCAACCCCATTAACTGTAGCCTGTCAAACTCCTCTGTCCACAGAATTCTCTGGGCAATATTACTGGAGTGGGTAGTCATTCCCTTCTCTAGGGGATCTTCCCAACCCAAGGGTCGAACCCATGTCTCCTGCATGGAGGGCAGTTTCTTCAAATTAAACTCATATTTTGACATATAACAAAGAACCTGACAAGTATAGCATTATTTAATTGAAAACAGCAAAGTGTATGACAACAGTAGATACAACTACTTCAAATTTTTAAAAGTAAACATTAGTATATTTTACATTGTGTGACATCTCTAATGAATGTTTCAATTGTTATAATTCTAGGATGTGAGTAATAGAGAAAGTTATCAGTTTATGAGAATAAAATATAATGGATAGATACAACCATACAGCTAGCCATTAGTCACTGTTTTATAAGACTCAAGTATTAGTCTTCATTACAAGGACATAACTGAGCTTACATTACATTTTTCTAGATTTCGTAAAGCTAAAAATAGTGTTTCCCTGAATTCAGTGTTCTAGAAGTGATGCTGAAAGTGAATATCCTTAGGAATGGTAGAAAAACATTTATCCTTTTCTTGATACAAGTGACAATTGATGAAAAAAAATGCATTTGAGGCAAATTTGATAGTTTATTTAATGTCTTATGTTTTTGGATGTTCATGTATGTTTTACTAAAAGGTCAACATTTTCTGTCTTCCCCATTTTCTGTGAAGTGAAAATTTAAAAGCTTATTTCTCCCCCTATGGAAATTTGGGCTTTTGTTATTTACAGCAAATATTCTTATTAAAAATATAGACAACAAGTTATGATTTGAAGGTCATCAATGAATGATATAGTGAGTATTCAATATTTCAATCTCTGCCATGGTGATATAGCTTGATATTGTTTGATGTTTTACCCTTCCCAAAGACATTTATTTTATCAGAGGAAACCTAAATACCTTATTTAGAAATAATATAATTAGATGCAGCTATTTTAAGAACTAAAGCAGAAAAATAAGAAAAGTAACTTTAGGCATTCATCTCTTTGTAACAGTTATTTTAATGTAGACAAGGTAGTAATTCTTCTGAATTAGTGACAAATGGTATGGAGTAGCCTTCATAGTCAACAAAAGAGTCCAAAATGCAGTGTTAGGGTGAAAACTCAAAAACAACAGAATGATCTCTGTTCATTTCCAAGGCAAACCATTCAATATCACAGTAATCCAAGTCTATATCCCAACCAGTAATGCTGAAGAAGCTGAAGTTGAATGGCTCTATGAAGACCTACAAGACCTTCTAGAACTAACACCCCAAAAAGATGTCCTTTTCATTATAGGGAACTGGAATTCAAAAGGAGGAAGTCAAGAGATACCTGGATTAACAGGCAAGTTTGGCCTTGAAGTACAAAATGAAACATGGCAAAAGCTAACAGAGTTTTGTCAAAAGAACTCACTGGTCATAACAAACACCCTCTTCCAACAACACAAGAGATGACTCTACACAGGGACATCACCAGATGCTCAACACCAAAATCAGATTGATTATAATCTTTGCAGCCAAAGATGGAGAAGCTCTATACAGTCAGCAAAAACCATCATACAGAGGAAGTGGAAAATAGATCGAAGGCATTAAATCTGATAGCCACAGTGCTCGAAGAACTATGGACAGAGGTTCATGACATGGTACCGGAGGCAGTGATCAAGAACATCCCCAAGAATAAAATGCAAAATGGTTGTCTGAGGAGGCTTTACAAATAGGTGAGAAAAGAAGAGAAGCTAAAGGCAAAAAAGAAAAAGATATACCCATTTGAAAAAAGAGTTTCAAAGAATAGCAAGGAGGGATAAGAAAGCCTTTCTCAGCAATCAATGTAAAGAAATAGAGGAAAACAACAGAATGGGAAACACTAGAGTTCTCTTCAAGAAAATTAGAGATACCAAGGGAACATTTCATGCAAAGATGGGCACAATAAATGACAGAAATAATATGGACTTAACAGAAGCAGAAGATATTAAGAAGAGGTGGCAGAATACACAAAACAACTACACAAAAAAGATCTTCATGACCCAGATAACCACGATGGTTGATCAGTCACCTAGAGCCAGACATCCTGGAATGTCAAGTCAAGTGGGCCTTAGGAATCATCATTATGAACAAAGTTAGTGGAGGTGATGGAATTCCAGTTGAGCTATTTCAAATCCTAAAAGATGATGCTTTGAAAGTGCTGCACTCAAAAGGCCAACAATTTAGAAAACTCAGCAGTGGCCACAGGACTGGAAAAGTTCAGGTTTCATTCTAATTCCAAAGAAGGCAATGCCAAGGACTGTTCAAACAACTGCACAGTTGCACTGATCTCACATGCTAGCAAAGTAATCGTCAAAATTCTCCAAGCCAGGCTTCAACAGTATGTGAACCATGAACTTCCAGATGTTCAAGCTGGATTTAGAAAAGGCAGAGGAACCAGAGACCAAATTGCCAACATCTGCTGGATCATCAAAAAGCAAGAGAGTTCTATAAAACTGCCTACTTCTGCTTTATTGACTATGCCAAAGCCTTTGACTGTGTGGATCACAACAAACTCTGGAAACAAACAGAGCAAGAGATGGTTGGATGGCATCATTGACTCAATGGGCATGAGTTTGAGCAAAGGTTGATAGTGAAGAACAGGGAAGTCTGGAATGCTACGATTCATGGTGGAGGTGGGGGGCGGTGAATTATCAAACTTAGCGACTGAAAAACAACAATCCTTAAATAACTACTGTTAACGGATTATGATTGTTTTCATTATAACCGAAAAGACATAATGCTAATATAAGGAAAGGGAATATGTAATGCCATGTAGTAAATCTTCTGAATTAGTGACAAATGGTATGGAGTAGCCCTCATAGTCAACAAAAGAGTCCAAAATGCAGTGCTAGGGTGCAATCTCAAAAATGACAGAATGATCTCTGTTCGTTTCCAAGGCAAACCATTCAATATCACTGTAATCCAAGTCTATGNGAAAAGACCCTGATGCTGGGAGGGATTGGGGGCAGGAGGAGAAGGGGACGACAGAGGATGAGATGGCTGGATGGCATCACCGACTCGATGGACATCTGTTTGAGTAAACCCCGGGAGTTTGTAATGGACAGGGAGGCCTGGCTTGCTGCGATTCATGGGGTCGCAAAGAGTCCGACATGACAGAGCGACTGAACTGAACTGTATGTGCTAAGTCGGTTTAGTCATGTCTGACCCTTTGCGACACTATGGACTGTGGCCACCAGATTCCTCTCTCCATAGGGATTCTCAGGCATGAATAGTGAAGTGGATTGCTGTGACCTGCTCCAGGGGATCTTCCCAGAGATTGAAACCACATCTCTTTTTCCTCCTGCATTGGCAGGAGGGTTCTTTACCACTAACTATAACTGGGAAGTCCTAGTGACAAATACTGTTAATAGAATTATGAATATTCCACAACAGGAATGAAAACATCAGAGTATAAGGAAATGAAAAATGTAATGCCAAGATTTAGCAACTTTATATAAAAGTAGAACTTAAAACATTGAAGGCACCCTTAGCAAAACCTAAGTTTGTAGTATGTGTGATTGAGATAAAAACAATTTAATAGTATTGTAATCATCTTCTCCCCAGTATCTTTTAGAAAATAAAAAAATTCTCAGAGGCACTTGCCAAAGGACTAACTATGAAACACACTACATACCCAAAGTCTCCTATATTCTGGAGTTGCGTCATGAGATAAACTGTCTTCAAAATACTCAAGTGTAAGAATTTCCTGTTTAAACTTTGTGACATGTTGATGAGAAATCTACCTTTTCCACTATTGCTTCACTGTGGGCCTTCACAGGGCAGTCTGTGAAGACCGCAAATACTGTTTACTACGGTAACTTGGTCACCCACAAGAGGAGGTAGGACTCTGGCCTACAGAAGGTATGTGTCTCTCTCCTTCCTAATTCCTCATCTCATTTGGTAGGAGATTACCCACGTCTAGATATGGTTCAATTTAGGGGCAATTGATATGTAGCCAAATCAAGGATATATTGGTAGCTTTATTTGAATAATTCTGAGAATTATGTAAGCATAAATATGAAATACTATGGAGGATTTTGTAAAATATTCAAATTCTTGCCTGGTTATTATTCAAGTGCATATACACATGTGTAAATGAGTTTCTAAATCAATGCAATTTAAAGTGAAATCTCATAAGCAACATGACAAGGAACAGTTACTGCTGTATTTTGTCATCAATAGAGATATATTTATATATCATTAAGCATTTCACTCAGCTTTTAAGAATAGATTCTTAAAGGGGATTCATGAAATTGTAAAGGGCCAGTGTAATTCTTCATAGATCTAGATAGAGTAAAAGCAGTTGAGTTTTAATAAAAATAAGACTGATGCATCTTCAGTAAAATCCTAATTTAAATCCAATTATAAACAACCAAATGCCTTTTAAAACCTTGAGCAAAATGTTGAATAAAAAAGATAAATGACACAGATACAGAGATTTTGTCTAAGAAATTATGTTACATTTTTCTGACTGATATGAATGGCCTTATGGCAATTATATTAAAATAATAAAATGCGAAATTTAATATGACTTTTATATGATCTATATAACACATATTTTATTATTTATTATATTATGTTTATTTGTTATGTTATTTATTATTTATTATAATAATATTTATTATTTATTATTATTATTATCTTTAAAATATTATTTTCTTTTTATTGTTTACTAAGCTTTGGATAGTTTAATATGTCATGTAACATTTTTGACTTGCAAAATATTTCTCTAAATTTCTAAATTCTCTAAATTTCTAATTATTTCAAACTTGCAGTCAATCAAAAAAATGAAAAAAAATATTTGATAGCACTTCACTTTCTTTTAATAAATGATACCACTGATTAAAGTAGTTTAGTGCAGGAAATATTACATATGCCAATACTATTATTCTTTCTTCTTTAGAAGGCTCAATCCTTAACCATTAATAGGTTTTAAAGTTATAATAAAAATTGGTATATTGGTGCATCTGTTTTTTCCAGTATGGCATTTTAATTTAAGCACGGTTACTGAAACAGTTTTAAAATATTTCCTTGCAAATTAACTGTAAATTGATAAGGATATTATTCTGTATGAGCTTTGTTTTTCACAAATTTACTAATTTCATTGTTCCAATGATGAATAGCATTATTTCAAACTTAGAATATTATTTTTAAAACTTAGTCTATCATGAAATACTAACACTCTGTGAAAATGAGAACCAAACATGTACCTTGCTTAACTGCAAAATGAGTGCTGTCACTCATCTCACACACCACCCACTCCAGGCTTCTTGTGATTTTATACACCATTTATTAACTACCTAGGTACAGTTTTCACAGAGCGCCATCCTTGACATTACACAGCTGCAGAGATGAACAATCAAAAGAAAAACTGCTGCTGCTGCTACTAAGTTGTGTCAGTCGTGTCGGACTCTGTGCGACCCCATAGACCGCAGCCCACCAGGCCCCCGTCCCTGGGATTCGCCAGGCAAGAACACTGGAGTGGGGTGCCATTGCCTTCTCCAATGAAAAGCTACCCAGAACCAAATCTGGCTAAGGAAGCCAGGAAACAGCAAATGAGAGGTAAGAACAGACAAAGTTCCATTTTAGTCACTGAACAGGAGAAAACCTACATGGAAATAAAATTTCAAAATGCTTCTCACTATCCTCAATGGAATGACAGGAACTGCCAGTGCAAGTGTGAGAATTTAATAGCTCACACACTTTTTATTTATGAGGATCAGAGTTTGAGTTTGAAATACAGTACTCTAATATTGGTGACTTCCTGATAAGGAATCCACCTGCCAATGCAGGAGACGCGGTTGGATCCCTGGCAAATCCCATGGACAGAGGAGCCTATCTATTCCAGCACTGTTTTAATTAGTAGTCTTTGATCTACAACTTGTAAGGTGTTATCTTTGCTGAAAATGTATATATTCTGAGAGGAGGATTATAATGTTTCATATGGATTCAGGGTCCAAGTTGATGTCTATGAATTCTCAGGGATGTGGGATCTTTTGTTCTTCTAAAACAACTGTCTCCATCTCTCCTTTCTCAGTGTTTCCTTTTCTCTCCCTGCAGATCTACCATCACCTAGAGAGAAGTTTGTTGCTGTGATCCTGGGAATCATCTGTTTTGTCTTGATGTATACTGTAGTTAGAATGATAACTTCTATTCCATGTAAGTGTATTTTTGAAATTGTGATTGAACTTTTCACTTTAATGGTCATCAGTGCCTCTCAAAAATCATATGATGAAATAAAACTCTTATTTTAATATGTGCCTTCAGCCTAAAAGTGGAATAGCTATTCTCAAGTTGTCCAGAATATAAATAACACAATGATTCTAGGGAATACTATATATATATATATATATATGTATGTAGGTTAACATATATATATATATATGTTTTTCTGATTTCATAACTCAAACACAGGCTTTAGGAAGCTGAAAGACCTTATTGAGAAACACAAATTAATTCTTGAGATTGCTTAAACCAAATACTGTAAGAGGTGGTGGCATCTGTTCCTTTTGGTTTTTGAATTTTTTTTCCCCATCAAATCTTCATTGCTTAATTGCTTTTTCTTGGTAAAGTCAGTTTTAGTTTAGATTATTTTAATCTTAAACAATTAACCAAATTTTAGACTCAGAAACTAAAATCATTATGATTTATTTAGAGCAATATTAACTTTTATAATAATTAATTTTGTAGCTACTCTAATAGAGGAACAGAATAACTCCTCTTGGACAACAAGGCTCCAGAAAGGTACGTAATGATTTTAAAGCTCTGGCATATATACAGTTGGTATTTTATCTCTATCTTAGGCTAATGAAAATAAGAATAGATTATAAGGTAGAACATAAATTGTAAAATGCAGCAATATATATTTATAAGTAATGATTATAGGAGAATGCTTCTGTCTGTGCCACAATATGATCACCATATGCATTGTTGAAAATTGGTTCTAATTTCCTTCTGCTATAATACGATAAAAAACAAATAAATTTGGTATTCTAAAACAGAGGTTTCATTTCTTGGTCCTCAGGACGTGTAAAAAGTGGGTATTTCTGTGTGTTTGCTTGATATGGAGAAATAAATTGGCTTATGAGAGACTGACCCTTTCTGTGAATGTGTTGGTTTGTTTAATATGTACCAGCATTGAGGGTGCATAGATATGTTATATAAACATGTATATACATAGATATGCTTATATCTATGCATATATATAGTTTCTTTTATTGTACAAAATTCAATTATTTTTGGCTAGTAATCCACAATCTTTCTTCAGAATGCCATTGTGGTCGTTGTCCAAAAGACTGGTTTACATATTCCAACAACTGCTATTATATTACTTTTGAAGAAAAAACATGGAATGGGAGTTTGACAGCCTGTGCTTCTAGGAACTCTACTCTGCTTTATTTAGATAATGAAGAGGAAATGGTAAGCTATCAAATGTTTCCAACACTTTGCTAAAGGCTTGATTCAGTCAATATTATATTTGTTAGAATTCACTTGTGTTTTTGTATGTATTTATAGTTTGTTTAACACAGGTCTGTTATTTTATTAAATAGTGGAGTACAACTTAATGATATTTTATTAATATTTTATCCTATGAATGCATGCTTGATTATTTCCATTCTTGCTTTTCACTGAAAATCACACTTCTCCAATTGCTATTTTATTCTAAGATAAACTGTGTTATTTGATTTTAATATATATCAAGGAAAGTATACACATCATACATTTTCATATAGATCACAAAATAAATAGAACCATGTAATTACACATCAGATTGTGGATTAGAAGTTTCAACTTTCCAGCGCCCCATCCTCTGTAACTTCTCATCACCTGTGTTTCCTCCTTTTTACCCACTTTTGTGGTGTTTGATGTTATAGAACCTCTTTGCATGTTTGGCTCCTCATGTCCATAGACTCTGCCAGTATGCATTCTTCTTTCAGTCTCCACACACTCCCATGTACTAGTTTTGCAATTCATCCATATTCTTTCATTTACATGGTGCTTGTTACTGACTATTGCTCATTTTGTAAATATAGCATTTAAAATCCACTCTATCCAACGTCTTTGAGTGGAGATGGAGTCTTATGCCTTCAGGGAAAAGAGGCTTTCCGGGTTCAGCACTTTTAGACATGAGATCCTCTTTGCTGGCCCCACGTCCATCTTGGCCTCCCAACTCTAGTTCTCTTTGTGGCGGCAGGAGAAGAACCTCCTCTAACTGCTGCTTGTTAGCAGGTGTCCTGGTGGACACTTTGTGAGGCTGGCATGGTATTGCCAACAGGATTCCCCTCAACACACAGGAAGAATGGAATGCCTTATCTGTGCCCCCTCCTACAGCTTGGCTGGGTGAGTCATTTAAAAGGTCTAGGTCATTTTCTTCTTTTGGGGAAGATATAAGATGCCCCTAATTGTTGTTCCCTAACCTCACTTTGTTCTCCCATCCTGGAGAAGTGATGAGAGATTACAGAAGTCAAGCTGCTGTTAAGTCTCCAACCACATCACCCTTCTCTTTCCACCTTTCAGAGTTCTCCGTTCTTGTGTCTTTCATCAGTTCCTGTGTTTACAGTTGTACTTAGCAGGAAGGAGCAGAGAGAAATGAGTCTCTGACACTTTATCTTATCTGCTGGATTCTAGCAATACAGAAAAAAGATTGATTTTGGGTTTATCTAGGCAAAGAATGGTGTGGGTACCAGAAAATCAATCTTTGTTTTTTGTGTCATTTATTTTCTCAATTTCAATCCCTTAATATCCTTCTAAAGCTGAAACTCTGAGAAACATAGTAGCAAAATCCAGTGATATAATCACAGTATCTGGAAAAACAAATGTTACAGAATCGGAAAACATTTAAAACCTTGCTATGTTCAATTTGACAACATGGGTAGCAATTAAACTGCATGAATCAGACTTTTCCTTATTAACATAAGAAAAGCAATGAAACTGATAAACATAAATGTTTGAGTTTATTTTTAATCATAAGTACAGACATTGGTTAATGTTTGACAAATATTAAAACATTCACCTTTATACTTTTAGAGTTAGATTAGATTCTAACACTCTCATCTTGTTCAGAAAACTCAGGATCCTATGAAAGAGCACACTGTTTGCATTTTAAGAATTAATAAATTCTTTCATAGCGATTAAATGAAAATACTTTTGTGTAGAAATTTCTGAAGTCCCTATCAGTTATGTCATGGATTCCAGTCTTTCGTGAAGGCCATGGTCATCCGTGGATGTGGCAAAATGGCTCAACTTGCAAACTACAGTAAGTTTTTAAAAACAATACTATATAGAGGAAGTGAAGTTGCTCAGGCGTGTTCGACTCTTTGTGACCCCATGGACTGTAGCCTACCAGGCTCCTCCATCTGTGGGATTCTCCAGGCAAGAATACTGGAGTGGATTGCCTTTTCCTTCTCCACGAGATCTTCCCAATCCAGGAATCGAACCCTTGTCTCCCGCATTGCAGGCAGACACTTTACCATCTGAGCCAGAGGACAATATTAAAAATAAATATTTTAAGAATATTATTAAAACATTTGGTTGAATTACACAATGATGAAGGAAGATGTTGAAGGTTAATAAAATGTTGATAGAAATATAAAAAAATGGGCTACTCAGTAGCCCATTTTGCTAATAACAAACTCTTATTTCAATTATATTAAAACACCATTACCTACTTTCAAAATATCTTTCTATTACAGTTATACAGAAATGCTATAACTTCATGAGCTGTCCTTGTATGTCATAACAGAATTATGCAATGCTTTCCATTACAGGATATTAGACATATCACCTGAGAAAAGAAACTGTGCAGTGCTATCTTCGGAGATAAGGTCAGATGACTGTGAATCCCCAAATACGTATACTTGCAAGCACAAGCTTGAGAATTAAAAAGTAAGTTTGGCTGCTGTTAGGTAACTTCATCTCTATGAAATGGAAATAATAGTATGATTGCATAAACTTCAAAATGCATTATATTCTTTTTTCTAAAAGTGGGAGTTTTTTCAAAAATTATTGAAATTTAATATGCACACAGAAAGTACAGATATCATTCCTTTGGTGTCTGGCTTTTTTTGCTCAACTATATATTTACAGCAATCAAACTTTCTAAAGGATCGCATGGTACATCATTTACATGAAATATCAAAAATAAGAAAAATAAGAAAAGAGAGACCAGAAGCAAATTAGTGATCCCCAGCAGTGGGGAGGTGGGGATAGGAAATTATTGCTAACTGAACAGTGATGAATACTTTCTAGATTTTTGATAGTGGTGATCATTGCAAATTAAAAATGTATCTAAAATCAGTGTTTATACACTTTAAATGGATGGATTTTAGGCTGTGTAAGTTACACCTCAATAAAGCTGTTTTCTGCTTGGAATTGCATTTAATCTTTAAAATAAATTGCAAAGAGAGTCATCTTTGCAATATTGACTCTTCCAATCAGTACTATGCTTTATCTTTCCAATAATTTAGGTTTTCTCTTATTTTCTTTCTATTTTTTAAAATTTATTTATTTTTGGTCATGCCAAGTTACATGTGGAATCTTAGTTTCCCAACCAAGAATCCAACCTGCACCCCCCACACTGGGAAGCACAGTCCAAACCATTGAACTGCCAAGGAAATCCACTTATCATGTTTTACATTTTTCAATATGGACTTTAGAAAGATGGTAACCATAACCCTATATGCAAAACAGAAAAAGAGACTCAGATGTATAGAACAGACTTGTGGACTCTGGGAGAAGGCGAGGGTGGGATGTTTCAAGAGAACAGCATTGAAACATGTATATTATCTAGGGTGAAACAGATCACCAGCCCAGGTTGG